TCATGACAAGTTTCACAAGTAAACCAAAATATTCCAACAGAAAAACACGCCATCCATTCATAGGACTCCAAAAGTTGCAATTGTTTTGTTCCAAATGGAGCCACGCATGTGAATTGATGATGGCTCTGTCATGTACCACAAAATTTTCAATTAAAGAAAACAACAACTACCAGAATACAATAAGTAATAAAATATATGGCTATGATTTCAACATCAGAGTGGCGCAGCGGAAGCGTGGTGGGCCCATAACCCACAGGTCCCTGGATCGAAACCAGGCTCTGATAGAAAGAGTGGCTTCCTGATGTTACCTTTTTGTGCAGTCTTCTTCTTGTTCTAAATCACATATTAATTTCAAACCAAAATAACTTTGCTCCTTTTTTTTTTTTTTTTTTTTTTTTTTTTTTTTTTTTAAAGAAATTTTAATTCCATATTCTTATTTAGGTATCACTGCCAAGGGAACATGGTTTTACTTCAAAATACACATTTTTCTACCAATTAAATTCCAACAACTTTTTTTTTTTATTAGTTACATTTTTCAAATGTAAATGATTAATTGTTCTTATAGCATTTGTTAGCAAAAAAAAAAAAGATAATCAAAAGTATTTATTATATTTAGAACAAAATTTGTTTAATACTTGCTTTTAAGCAATTAAAAATATTTAGATTGTGTTTGATAAGAACACCTCAATTAGTTTATAGTTTAACAAATTAACTTATAAGGTGTAAAAAAAACAAATAAACTTACGGAAACATTAAATAACAATTGGAATTAAAATAAAGTTTATATCGTTAATTATAGTCCACACTAATATAGATTTGTTTATAATATAGATATAAATAGACGCTTTGAACTTTATTTGCATTCTAATTGGTTCTTAAAACTTATTCCTTTAACAAAAAGATACTTTGAATTCTAATTGGTCTTTAAATTATGAACACTGCTATAGTCTCCAAAAATGGAAGCTGAATCATCCTCTAAATAATATTTTATTAATATTTTTTAATAAATTTATTATAAAATAATTATTTAATTTAATATTTTATAATTTAAATTAATATTTTAATTTTTGGAATGCTTTTCGGAGGTTACTTTCAGAGGATGTATCATTTTTACATATATAAAACTTATTTTCATATTTATGTTAATTAAATAATAGCAACAACCTTAAAAAAATAAATAAATAACCGCAATAATAGATATTATTGTCCGAAGAGAGAATGGCAAGGATCGTAATTAAAAGAGTAGATATTCCTTAGAATTAATCTTGACATTTTTTT